AACACTTATTTATATTGTACTAAATTTAATTAACATGAGTAATATATGACTTATATATTGTCTATGCCATTTTCTTTTTCAATTCGTTTATCTTCTTCTGGTCATTTATAAACCACAGCAATCTAAGTAACATGCTTCTTATTATACTGCTAGAGGTTTTTTTTAATAAACGTTTTCTTCTGTTTGAAAATACTTTAAATTGGTCCTGTTCTGTCAGATGATTGTAAGCTGAATCGAATCCTCACAGATCAGATGTCGAGGTAACTTGTCTCTTGTTGTACATCTAGGATATACTGTCAAATTGTAATCCCTCATGGGGTGTGCTGTGTGAAGGAACCCGCAGATTGATCGGTTTTGATATTTTCGCGCTGGTGCAGGAGCTTTCTCATCTTGGACCAATGTATTCTCATTTCGGTCTGGTGAATGAATGAATGAATGAAAAAGTACTTTATTAGATAAACAAAAGAGAATAAAAAAAATTGTACATAAACAAAAAGCACATTTCGGCAATGGTTATCAACCGTCTGCCGGAGTCGGACTATACATTTTTAATAAACAAGGAAAATATTTCTTCTTAAGGAATAAACAAAAGAGAGAGAAAAAGCTATATAAATAAACTAAAATAACAACATATCTATTTATGCACATATAAATAAATAACCAGGGTGTCTCTGATATATACAGTAAACATTTAATAGTTGAAATAAAAAACAAGCGTTTTCCTGTAGTTCCAGGCTTCCATCGCAAACTTTACCAGATTTAAAGACTCGGGGTTATTTAATAAAGAGATTAGGTGCTCTCTCGTCAACGTGGGCAAGCCTATATGCCGTGCTCGGAACTCAGCTAAAACTGGGCATTCTGCTAGAAAATGAAAACAGTCTTCTCGAGCCTGCCTGTTGCAGAGAGAGCACCTATCGGAACTATTGACTCTTTTGGGGTTATAATTGAGGTACAGTAACTCGCACCTAATTTTGAAAAACCAGCGAGCTAGCGGAATGGACGGAATTTTAGAATCTTGCGCTATGTTCAAGAAAGGTTGACTGATATTAAGGTCCTTAAAGAGCAAAATGCACTGGTGCAGGAGCATTGCTATCTTTGGCAAAGATATGGTCAAATTGTAAGCTTTCCTCGTAGGTTCTGTGGATAAAGAACCTGTAGTTCCGTAGGCTTCGATTATTTTGCTCTGGAATAATATTTTTTCGTATTTGGAAATTATATTGCAAAATTGTGAGATTTTCTCATCGGTTGTGTTGTGTAATGAACCTGTCGGTCAGTTCTAATCATTTTGGTCTGGTGCAAAAGTTTTTTCATTTTTGACAAAGATATTGTCTAATTGTGAGGTTCTGTGGGTGGTGAAACTGTAGTTCATAGGTTTTATGATTATTTTACTGCGGTACAAGTGTTTTCTCATCTTTGACAAATGTATGCTACCTTCATGGTGTGTGCTGTCTTTTTCAAAAGATAGTTCCTATTCACAGTAAGTTGTTTTCTATCTCTCCGGATTTCGAGCCTACAGCTCATCATCAAGTTGAAGGAGCTCTACAACCACGTCTCTCGACGTGAATTGCAAGACAATTGGTGTGTGCTGTGTGATGAAGCTATAGATAGGTCGGTTCTGATTAGTTTGGCCTGGTATAGGAGCTTTTTTTAATAAAATTTTGCCCTTGTACAAGCATTTCTTATCTTTGACAAATATTTCCTTATTGTTAGATTTCTTGAGAGAGTCTGCTGTGTGTTGAACTTACAGTTTGTTAGGTTCCGATCATTTTGGCCTGGGGGTTGCCTCATCTTGGCAATTGTTTTGTTTATACGTAGCAGGTGTTTTGAATTTCGTGGGCCGGGCGTGGGTCCGATCGTCCCGATATCGGCAGAAACCGCCGATGACAGACGCTGTCAAAGATTTCTGTGGGAGTCGTAGCGCGTAGGACATTTACAACCCAGCCCCGCCTAATAATTCCTTCCCATTAGACGAGGGATTTATTGTCATCCCAGCCCAGCCCGCTCGTCGTTCGCCTTGTTACTATTTATTCATAGTTTTTTGTTTTCCGCAAGACAAACTGCGCGTTTTACATAAATTGATCATTGTAGATGTATTAAACGAGCTTCTTTACATATTCATCGGAGCATTTTTTACATCCTCGGTTCGGCTTTGCCGTTAATCCACACGCCGCGGAGGAAGTTGCTAAACTCTCTCATTGTGCCCTTAAAAACGATTTATCGCGTTTTTTTAAAACCGTAAATCACGCCATCCTCCGGAACGGTATATTGTAAAAGAAGTCGCGAGATTTATTTCATTAGATATTCAGGTCGTCGGATGAGAATTGCCGGTAAGATATGTGGCATACGGTTTTAACGAAGCACGCATTTCCTCCCCGAACACGAACGTTCCTACATTTCACCTGCAAATTCCCTTTTTTAGAGATGCAGAGCCGTTATGGAATGTAAACTGAGACTTTCGTCCGTTTTCACGCTTTCACGCAATCTCAATGATCCTTCCGTTTACCGGCTTCCAGACTTAATTAGATCTCTTTGCATGCATTATCCAAACTAATAATACTAATAATTTAAAAATATCGCCTGACCAATCATATTCAACAACCGTACTCTTTATTAACAATATAATTATTGAGAAAGGAGTTTTGGCAATTATTCAACTATTCTGTTTATGTTACATTTCTATATTATTAGAAAATTACCGCATATCCCACCCCATCGACCAAAATTGGTTCTATATACGATTTATCTACTTGAATCCAGATAGGAAGAATAGACTGACAGATCAACTGTACTATGTGTATGTATCCACAGCTCAGTTTTCCATTTCTTTTGTTCAATTCTGTCCGTCTCCTTTTATTGAAATTGTAGGTCGGTGGACCTCGGAAGTCACTTGTCATGGGTTACAGAAAACATTTCGCCTTGTTACGGCTGTTTAAATTCACTGTAGGAAGTGACAAATGAAAAGCCGTTCAAAATGTGATATGTAAGGACCAAAGAAGCAAGGTACAAAGGTCGGAAGAAGCACACTTGGTTATGTAAATATACTTTAAGAATTTCACAGTTCAGAAGTAGTCTGTACGATTATTTGGAGGTCGTGAAATGCGGTCTGGTGTGACGTAGGTTTTAGAAAAACATTTTCTTTATCGTGCCAACGTTTCGATCTTTATTGAGATCATCTTCAGGGCTCAAAGTGTTCGTTTTCACGGCACTCTCAACACGACAGACACGAATGACACATCTAACGGAATACAAACACTTTGATCCCTGAAGATGATCTCAATAAAGATCGAAACGTTGGCACGGTAAAGAAAATGTTTTTCTAAAACTTACGTCATACCAGACCGCATCTCACGACCTCCAAATAATCATCAAGTAACGGTCACTAAACACAACACAGTAGTCTGTACGTTGCAATAAATAATTGAGGCGGTCCCTTTTCTCTGCTTCGCGAAATTTTCTATCAACTGACGGAATTGTAGGAATATCTGAACAAACTGTAATTTGAGCATAGAGAGCTGAAAAGCGCAAGTTTTAGGTATAGTATTAAATCAAACAGTTTCATAGTATTTTTGGTTGCAGTTTACCTTTTGGGATAAATAATGGTGATTTTTAAGAGTAAAGATGCGTTTCTAACGGTGCTAAGAGTTAATATCTTGAACGAAAAAGGACCTGACGGACAGATTTTCATTAAAAGGCAACATCCTCCGAGGTGGATCGCCTTCTCTGATGATTTTTCCCATCACAATCCTATCTGCGCCGAAGAGCAAGGCCGAAAGGTGATAATTGTCCAACTACAGCAAACAATTATGGAAAGTTGGTGTGTAATGTATACTAGGCATTGTTCGAGAAGACATTGTACCAATCATTGTGACACATGTTTATGTTTCCGATAGTCGTTTCGTACCACCACGTGTGCTTATGCATTCACCTTTAGCTTACACGGTTAATTTACCTAGTCGTAAAGGAAACTAGGATGACAATTTAGCCGACATGAGATCATTATTTTCCTCGTTATTTCCTGCTTAAAATAATTGGATAAGGGACAAGAATAAGGGCCGGGTGTATTCACAACTAGGACGCTGAAAGATAAATGACACGTTTATTTTTAAAATTTAAATTTTAGTACCAGCAATGATTGTGTGATTTCTCTTTGAGTTCTGCGTAGTGAGGAACCTTAGTTTTCAATTATCCTTCTTGAGTATTCTTTCTTTGGCGTGAACTGAATGATCAGTTTTGCATCTCGTTTTCTTCAATTTTCCAGAGTCTGGTGAAGTCAAAGTCTCGAGTCCCTTTTTTAATATGTTTGTTGGGTCGTATGGTCGGGCCATTTTCTGTATCAAATTATAAATTTATGTGGTATTGATATCCCTCAGCATTGTAATTTGCATATTATCGTTTGTTTCGTCATTTCAGTTTGTCAGTTCAGTGGATGTGTGTTGTCTTTTGCTCTTCCCTGTCCTATGTACTAATAGTCAATTGTACTCAAATGTACTCGATAATACTGGACTCTCTATCTTAGATGGCTTGGCTTGGCAGACAAGTTGCGGCATATAACCATGGACAGTGTTTGTTAGCTTATTTTTCTTGTGTTCATCCCTATTTTAAAGTCAAAGTTATTAGCCAAAGAGGACTGTTTTCTGGTGTTGTTCCCAATCTTGAATACGATGAAGATTGTGTTGTAGTTTGACCATTGTTCTTACTATCTAGTAAGTTTAGGACATCACCCCCACATCTCCAATATTTAATTATGATGAAATATGAACACAAACTTACAACTAAAGAATAGGAAATGCCAAGACATCGCTATTAGATTAAAAAAGATAATATAGGCAACCAGGATCGGAAAATATTAAAATTACAAATATATTTTAATGTTCATTTGTTATTCCATACTCAAGTAAATCTCTGAGGGAACTTTCAGCAGAAATAACGTTAAATTATTGGATAGACAATGTGCTGGTTTTTTAAAATATTTTTATTTTATTTTGTTATTTTGTTTCCAGAGATGGCAGAGGAGATGGTTCGTCCTTTACGACGACGGAGAACTGAGCTACTCCCTCGACGAACATGTAAGTATCGTCTTTTATGTTTACGGCCTTGCACCACGCACAGGGGCACGTTTAACGATCAAACATGGGTGTACGAGGTTCCGTTCCTTCCCGTTTTACGGTCCGGGAACTTTTGGTACTCTCCCAACACTTTACGCGACTTAGAAACTCAATCAACTCGACTGATCGGTGTCAGTCCGTTTTCGGGTCACATGCCCGTGCCCGGGATAACGGAGGATCCGAAAACGGCCCGAATCCCGCGAATTGGGTCGCCGCCGTAATTAATTAAGGACTTGACTCGTGGCGAATACTAAGTCACGACAGGTGTGAGAGCCTGTCGAAGTCCGAAGAAGGCAAGGGGGACGGCCCCTCGGAAATCCACACTTCGCGATGCCGCCTTTTATCAATATAATTTTGAAAAATATTGACGGGGTTGGCGTACTCATACTAAAACGTGTTGGGACCTTTACCTTACACCTTACGCCGTGTCGGAACCTAAACCGTATCTGTCACAGACCTCCCCCCCCGAACATTCATTTACAAATAACTTAATTTATATTGGCTTTATCATTAAAGAAATTGATGTATTTTCCATTGCTTCTCGTTTTTGGTTTTGAACTAAGATTGAATTTTAAATGTGAAATTTAAAGAATACGGAAGTAAAACATCGCTTGATCATATCTGACCTATTTAGCACATATATTTTAATTTGCCTTTAATAAATACTACGTCACCTTGGCAAAACTTGTTTCTTCAATGACCGCCTGTCCCTGTGTTCCTTTTAAAATTATAATAGGTGTTCAACGAAGCTAGATGGACCCATTTGTAGTTTATACAAGAAAAATCTGCAAATTACTTACAAGACTATCCTGTCAAACAACTATTAATCATGCCAGTTATTATGAAGTAATGATAACAATTTTATTATTAATAAATTATAAATAAATTAGTTTATTATGTAATGATTAATGTATTTGGACTGATATTAAGAGTTTATTATTTAAGGTTTTTTTTTAATTTCCCAAAGCATGAATGAGTAAGAAGGATCCTTCCGGTAAACTCGGCCATTGGCAAAAATTGACAGGCCCCACTACGCATATGTGCCCGGCGCTTTGTGGCCTTTTTGCTCCATATATTTATTGCTTATACCGCAATCTGAAATGAGATCAGCGAGTCGTTTAAACTGCTTGGGTGTACAGGAATTAATCGTCTGGTGGGACAATTACATTCCGAAGGCCGGGCCGATCCGATCGTTTCAATAAATAATTAAGAGATCACGACTTTTAAACCGTTCCATCGCGGATTGTTTACAGAAGGCGATTGTGCCAATTGTTCGAATGGCACATTTGCCTCTGTGGCCTGGATACGCAGATTAAAGTGAGTCTTGTATAGTTTTTCATTCTTTATTTATCGTAAGAGTTGGAAATTTGACTGCTTTTACCAGCTCTACCTTATTTAATACCGTGATAAGTCCAATTATCGTTACGTGCCCTTATAAAAGTAAGAGAATGTTTAAGAAAAATGAATTACGTCACAAGTAAGACGTACACAGTAAACATTTTGAAAATCACCTAAGTCCTGTGGTACAGAGTTATACAAGATTTAAATGAGAAACCGGCTTTGCGCAATTTCCTAAAATCCCGCTAAGCTGGTCGCGAGTTGAACGGCGAAAAATGGGTCCACTTGGCAAAGTCTGTTCAAAGTTAATAACAGACGCAATTTTATCATGATAGGTTTTGTTCGTTTTTCGAAATGGCCTCGTGTCGAATCGTGGAAAATGCGCCCACTTGACATACATCCTTTTTAGAATGTTGGAAAATTTTTAAGCAGTATTATACACAGTCTTCAATACGTATAGTTGAAAATGCGATAGCATGCGGACCAGAAATGTTTACACACAGTATCAATAAAAATTCATGGATTACTGGCCACAACCTATGAGGTTTTTTAACTAACTACATTCTTTTATCACCATACGTTTTGAAATGTATGCAGTGTGATGACAATGATATAAAATAACATTATTTATGACAGCTGATAAATACATAGTAAACGGTACCAAATCCCCTATCATTGTGGAATAGAGTTCTACAAGTATAACATTTGAAACTGCACTGAGGCATTTTCGTCAATTTCATGTATCATAATCGTTTTCATGAACGGACACGTTCATATTTCAATACTTTTGTAGATAGTTTCCGTTAGAGATGGACATTTTCTTAAGAAGCTATGAAGGTGGACCAGTGTAGATTTCAGGTCGAGCCAATTACAACTCCTAGATTGTAGACGACAAGCTAGGATTTTTCTCACCTTTCCTCATTTCCTTACGTTAGAGATTCCTTAAGTTTATCTTACGTACTTCACGTTAGAGAAGGCATTTTATCTTTCTACGTATGGCTGAAGAAGCGATGACAGACGGACCAGTAAAGATTTGATTAAGGCCGATCCAATGGCAGTTTTCATCGATTGCTGAACACAAGCTGTGATGTTTCTCACCTTCCCCCAATTCCTTAACGATCTTTGTGTTAGAGATGGAATTTTCTTGTTTTACCTCTGGCTGAAAAAGCAGCATTTGTACCAGTGATGATGTTAGATCGATTCATTCATAGTTCATTAATTGCAGGCCACAAGTGAAGTTTCTCATTTCTCTCCTTTCCTTTTATGTTTATTTATTTAATTCTATCCTATTTACATTCCGTTAAATACTTTTGTTTTACATCCGGTTGAAGAAGCGACGACAGGCGGACCAGAGACGATAACAGATCGTCCATCTACTACCAGTATCCATAGATTGATATCCACTAGCTATGAAATTTTTTATATTTCCTTATTTACTCATCTCCATACGATTTAAAATAAATACAGTTTAACTATAATCATAAATTGTTTATAAATAAATTTATACAAATTGGAAACAATATTCTAACATCGCCTAAGTATAGGTTGATTGTTTTTCGGAAAAATTGCAAGTTGAACCAAAAAGTAAGCCCGTTTGGCTCACAGCCTTTTCAGTTGACAGGTAAAATTTCGAGTTTATCCAACATACTCTACATTAGAGAAAGACATATTCTAGAAACTCTGGCTGATGAAGCGATTACGCGCGGACCAGTGAAAATTTTAGATCGAGACAGCTCTATCGCTGGCCACAAGATGTGATGTTTCACACCTTTCCTCCTGTGTCCTTAAGTTTATGCCACATACTTTCCGTTTGAAATGGGCTTTTGTTGTAAATCTGGCTGAAGAAGCGAGGCAACAGAGTTATACAAGTTGCAATTTTGAAACAGCACGTACACAATTTCTTAAAATCCCGATATTTCAGTTTTTCTTAAAATGAAAGTTGATGCGAGTCTGACCTCGAAAAATGAATCCGCTTGGCACAGTTTATTCAGCGGGCGAGGAAAATTTTGAATTTATCCTACTAAGTTGCCGTTAGAGATGATTTTCCTACAACGGGTCGGGTACGGCTGGCTGACGAAGCGATAACAGGCGGACCAGAGAAGATTGCTGATCCGACCGCGAACAGTTCATCGATTGCCGACCGCCAGCTGTATCCCCATTTCCTTATCTACGTACTCTTTTGAAATATATGCCGTGTAATTATAATGCTAATAAAAACCCGCAATGTTTATCATATTTTTTATTCGCTTGTTTGTCATTTTGAAATTAATTTTCAAAATAAATATTCCCAACTCGATTTCGAACCGTTGTAATATATATATTTAATACTGTATAGATGTAATATTTATAACCCTGTCGAGTCTGAACTGATATTATTCAAACAGACGTCACATATGTAATCGTTTTGAGATAGCTTGTATATTAATTGTTGATATTCGGAAAACGGGTGTGGTTGGAAAACAACCGACTACTCATTTAATTTATAATCATCCCTGAGGCAGAGATGGTGAAGATTATGACACCGGCTTCATCTTGTTGGACGACAATATTTCTAATACTTTTTTTTTCTCTTCATCTCGATATATCATAGTTTGGCGTATAATCTGCACCGTATCTGCCCTGAGGGCGATTACAAATTAACTAAGATTCGCGATTTACTATTCAAAACACGGAAGACGCCTTCTCGTCGTTTATTCGCCCCTTTTGAAAACGAGAAAAACTTATCTCTACTGTTTCGGATTTGTGAAGAGATTCTGAGGGTGAAAAGATTTTTAATTACTGCCGGCGCATGCTGGGTGTCAGAGGCCCTAATGAGTCTCGATCCCATGTGGGACATTGTTTCGCAACCTCTCACAATAGGCGTTCCCAATGGGTTATTGATTGCGTGTACTCCCGGAAAGTATTCGGGATTTATGGGAACGACGTGCACGTTACGAAACCGTACGGTTGAAAGACAAGAAACGATTTATAAACTTCGGTCAAATATTAAAATGAGTTTTGACCAGGGCCCATTTTTTCTGTCATCGTTAAAATGACTCTGGCGTTCACTTTTCCAGAAAAGGTTAATACTACCATGGCATTAGACTTTTAAACGTGTTTTATCATTCAGAAGTGGGAAAGAACACTATAAATAAGTTTCTTTAAAACCTTTCCGAACGATTTTGACATATTAAACCTCTTGATGGTCCATTCTCTTTTAACTGTTTTTTAACACACCTTATCTTTGGAAGTTTTCACACGATATTTCAACATGTTTTTCCTTCTGTTTTCTTCCATCGACATATCTAGAGATATTGGTATTTCAGTAATGCTACTTTATGATTTCTTGTTCTCTGCTGTGTGTTTCACCAAGATTCTGAAACTGTTCTTTTAAAACATTTGACGACAATACTATCTAAAATCAGTAAATACTCTCTACTTAAAAAGTTGTTTTATCACCTTCTCGCTGTTTTTTGTATTGTTTGTAACAATTATGTACAAACTTAAGGGGAAACGGAAAAACTATGCCCTACATTAAAGCTTGTATTGCAACACATCCTAGCCTAGATAATTTTTTATTTATTGTTTTAAAAAGTAGCATAATAAATAACATTGTTGAAAAGGGAGATATAATGTCAAAAACC